TTCCTCGTAATCAAGCAATTCATTAATATTTACATTTCTCAATGTCTATGTAGCCAATCATGTGTAGAAGAATGGAGAGTCATGCATTAAATCCGAGAAAGTCATTAAGATGATAGGTTGCTGGATTGAAATATGCCTATTAAAAAAATTCAGATTTGGAAATATCACTATCAAAATTAGATGGAGAGAGTACAAACTTAAAATTTGATTATTTTGATTTTTTTAAAGAAGCATCTATATAAAAGTTTTTGGAAAGCGTGCTCACGACAAACAAGGAAGTTACAGTTACAGTTAGGAGCTGAAGTTTAGAGCACACCCCATAAGAACTCCAAGAGGCCATATATAAGATGTACTTCTTTGGATCTTTGCAGTGACACTTCTTGATACAGCTTCACCTCAAAAAATGCCGCGAGATGCTACTCCAATGCTGATCAAGATAGCTCACATCGCCAAGTTGCAAATTTTAATCCCCTCACATGTTCTTGTCACCAAAGCTATTCTGTCTCTTTGGCTCCTTTTTGCTGTGTACAGCTTCTGATCTGCTCTACAAATTCAGTAGCTACCTCGAACCAAAGTTCAGAACAAATATATGATCCGGTTCAATGCCTATACCGTTGGCCCCTGCGGTATTGTGGCTTACAGCTTCTCAGCTTCGTTATATTTTACCTGCTCTGCTCTTCTGTAAAACTTGTTTTGAGTAGCCACTGGTTGCATAGTCTATATATCAAATTATGTTTACTTATTTGGCTAGTTTTGGATTATGTTGGAGTTGAGAATAAGAATCAAAATCAAGTCATGTGACTGTCACTTGAGTTGGGCGTGGCTCGGAATTAGGTTAGTTTATTTCATATTTAAAAAGGATGTGCACATGGAACTATGGAAGTGAACTGCAAAAGCATGATGGCAGAAAGTGACAAATCGAACAACTGCCACTTTGAGTTGGAGGTGGTCCGGCCTGATTGATTTAATTTGGTTTTGATGAGATGAGGATGTGATCTTTGAAAGCATGTACTCCATCCGGGAAAAAAAACACAATTTCTAAGGAAAGAATCTGGATAAGTGCTGAAACAGAAAAGCAAACAAGTTGTGAAAATTATACCACAACAATTACAAATAGACATGGAACTCCGCTGTATCACATTGACATATGGGCCTCGAAAAGAGTGGTCCACATCTCATTGCTTTCACTGCCCTGATAACAGTGTAAAGAATTTGGTCGCATCCTTTCTTACTATAAACCCACTAAGGGTGTGTTTAGTTCCACGTCAAAATTGAAAGTTTGAAGAAAAAAGTTAGAAGTTTATGTATGTAGAAAAAATTTGATGTGATAGAAAAGTTGAAAGTTTGAAGAAAAAGTTGGGAACTAAACCCGGCCTAACTCCTAAAGCTTGATATGCAAAGATGCCACATCATCATCCACTAACAATAATTAAATTTAAACATCATGAAAACGTGTTATATTATCTATAATTTATAATTTATTAAATTTTAGAGCATTTGAAATACAAGCATGTTAAATCATCATCCCACATAATTCACATAATATTCAATATGTATTTCTATTATTTTTTATAATATGCTATGTACCTATATAGTTCATCATCACTTAGTTAGTGTTATTTCTCTCTTATCTCATTAAGCCATATCACGTCAATTGTTCTTAGTGCTTAAATGATTAATCTATGGTCCAAATTATCTTTCTCCTTTTCCTCTCGCATTAAGCCATATCACCTCAATTATTTTTAGTTTCTAGATGATTAATCTACAGTCCAAACTATCTCAATATTTTTCTTCTTTCACAAAGTCATATCACCTTACTTTTATATTTGAATTACCATTCTATATACTATTTAAATTTAAATTATTATAAACCACGTTAACTTGCGTAATCTTATATTGTCTAGCTATCTTATTTTTACTTATTATTATCATGTTAAACTCCCACAGCAACGCGCGGGATTTCAGCTAGTTACAAAGAATTTGAGTTGCATAGTATCATTATTTTAGAGCCCCATCGGTTGGTATAAAAAGTCAAAGCCAAAGCTAAAATTTGAATTTCAAAATTTATTTTTTTAATTTTAAAGTTGATTTTAAGATATTTTTAATGTAGTTTCTTTTTCAGCATTAGCTATAAAAGTTTTACAAATAAATTATTTTATAGTCGCTAATAAGTCGTTACTGCTTATAATAACTTTTTGGCAACCGATGAGACTAGTTCCTTTCAAGTGCTCGCAACAGGGCTCTAAAAATAATATTTTTTAAGACTCCTTATTTGTATAGATAGTTGTATATATTTTTTATTGTTTTATCTGTTGTATTGTTTTTCAAATACTTTTATTATGTTTTTAATATTTGCACTGTTTGAGTTTATTCCTTTTTTAACAGAATGCTCGAAATATTTTTAATAAATACACATAAACATGTATTTTGCCACACGTTAATGGTGGTTAAGTTTTTATGAATGCAAAAGGAGGATCCAAATGAAGAACACGGACAATATTAATTGGTGAGCTAGTGGCAATATTAATTGGTAAGATTCATCTAGGAACATTGTTTTCGCAGTAGTGGTTTTGTCTCATGTAAGGAAAAATCTAATGGCAGTTTTGTATAAAACATAAGAAATATCAATATTTCTTTCAACAGTTCCACGCAATTGCAAGAGCTAGCACATTAGTATAAGCTTATAGTTACTCCTGGAGTACTTCATTATATTATACTTCTGGACATGTCGAGGAGAGAAACCAGAGAAAGGAAAAAGAGTTGGTTCTTAATTATATAAGATCAAGAATGTGCTTAAAAATAGACAAATTAAATTGGGAAAGGATACAGAGAAAGAACAAGAGACAAAATAAATGGAGAAGTGAGAGAGAGAAAAGAGTAAAGTGAAGGCAACATTATAGGTAAACTATTGTATTGTTCAAATCTAATATCCATATTCTCTCAATTTGGCGGATATGGATTATAGCCCGTACCTGGGTTTGTTATTAAACTTGTTGTAATATTGTTTTGCAACTTTGGTAGTGTTTTAGACAGCACTAGTCATTTTGTTTATTTAAAAACTATTAACGGACAAAGTTAAAAAAGACAATAGCCAACACCGAAATTGTAAAAAATAAAGGAAATAAATGAATAATCACAAAAGTCTCTTGTCTAACCCATAAGTTCACTCCCCCGTTCTTTTATATTATAGGGGCAAATTTTTCTATAAGACATCACGACTTTATAGTTTTAGCTGTAGAATACTATATGAAATGACTTGTATCATTGTATGGAAATACACTATGTAAATATAACACCACACCCATTACTTTAATATTTTTGTGATGACGACACGATATGGGCTTCAGTTTTTTTATGGCGAAACCAAATTACCCCTCTACATCCTAAATCCTCCTCTCCTCTCCGGCCATGATTTCCCCGCCACCACTGCAACGGTCTCAATGTAAACATATCCTACGTCAACGACTTTGGTTGCAAGCACTGCCGACCCTTGAAGGGTCGCCTTGACAGGCCTTATCATGCCCTCATGCCGCTGTCCCGAGAGGTGCTGATAGACCACCCGGTGACACTGCCAACGCCACAGGGGTGTCCTCCTACATGTTGCCTCGGAGGATCCACTTCTTTGTGAGAGTCACCGACTCAAGAACCGTATTGATGCACTCGGCATATACTCGGCGTTGAATGATATGAAGGGCACCGTGCTCGCCCACCTCTTGCCGACCACGAGGACAGCCGCGACCTGCGCCTCGTTTACGTAGGGAGGAAGGTTTGCCTCCCTCATCGCCTCCACTACCGCTAGCGTCAAGTACGACTTCGCTCATAGTAGCTCCACCTCTAATATGGATGAGCTTATCAAGGAGTACATTCTCTCCATGCACAGAGCCAGTTATCCTAAACAAAACATACAAACACAATTCGATCATGCCACCTAAAAAGTGGGCACCATCTAGGTCGTCAGTACGAAAACATTAAAATAATGGATGTGGTGTCTCCTAAAAAATTATTACATTTACATAGTGTATTCTGCCAAAAATCACTTCAAACGATGTCCTATAGCTAAAACCACGAAATTAGGCTATACAACTAGACGTACATCTTCACGTTAACGTACTATTGCAGCAACCGTGCACCAATAACTGAAACACGTACACGTACTAGTACCGGTACTAGTAGTACTGTAGTATGATTAATTGATGAACATGACTTGTGCTATAACCACGTTTGTCGATAGTGACACTGTCGTCCCGTTAGACGCAAAACAACAAAATCATTAACGCACGGTAAATTATTTTTAATTTTGTTAAACAAAAATATTATTATATGATATTTTAAAGAGCATAAAAATGTACTCCCTCGTAAAATAAATTAACCTATAATAGGATTTGACTCATGTTCCTGTCTAGATTTAGTATTAGGCTATGTCTCGTACTAAGATTAATTTATTTTGTAATAGATGAAGTATTATTTTGTGACGGAGGGAGTACTGTTTAGAGCATGTACAATAGCACACTATAAGCCAAGCTATAAACATGTATCAAGAAGATAAAAAAATAAGAGAGAAGATCAATGGGACCATAGACTATAAGATACAATGTGTATGATAGGTGAGATCAGATATTAATATTATAGTATACGTGGTTGAGAGGTAACTATTATATTTATTAAAAATTATTATATATATTAGCTATTAAATTGACTAGATTATTTAGAGGGTGAGTCTAATTGTCTAACTCGCGCACCTGCATGAGGGTGTGTTTAGTACACGCTAAAATTGGAAGTTTGGTTGAACTTGGAACGATGTGATGGAAAAGTTGAAAGTTTATGTTTGTAGAAAAGTTTTGATGTGATAGAAAAGTTGGAAGTTCATGTTTATAGGAAAGTTTTGATGTGATGGAAAAGTTGAAAGTTTGAAAAAAAAATTTGCAACTAAACACGGTGTCAGTGTTATTTTGTCTGAGTGTTATTAATGATCCTCAAGTCCCGTGCCTGCCTCGCTCACCCGCAGCTGGCGTGGCCCGCCGGCAAAACCCCCCTCGCCATCGGCGGCCGGCGAGAGAGCGACCCTCCTCTACGGCTCCCGGCTCCACTCACGATCCCCCGCCCATGACACACCCACACCCACCATTGCACATGTGGACGTCGTGTGCTCGTGCAAACACACGTGGTCGCCAGCTAGCGTCACAGCCAGGTGGGGCCCCCCCAAAATCCCCTCCTCCTTCCCCGGCCGCGCATCCTCCCTTCTCCTCTCCTCTGCAAATCTCTGCCGCCCCGGTTTCCCATCTCCGCCCGCAGTAAACCCCTCCTCATTCCCACCACCACCTCTCCTCGGAGGAATCTTTGCTGCTTTCCTTTATATAAACCCCTCTCCAGTCTATACTTCCACTCCACACTCCCCTCCACCCCCCCCCCCACACCCGCAGCAGCAGGGAGAAGGTATGCTCCATCCAAGATCGGATCTCATCATCCTACTGCGTTTCTTGATTTCCTTTTTCTTTTCTTTTTTTTGTTCTCTATCATATGTCCCGGGCGCGGCACATGGCCAAAAACCAGAGAATTTCCGGCGCTGTTCTCTCCGATCTAGAGATTTTCTTTTCTTTTTTTTCTTTCAAAAAGTGACTTTTGTTTGTCATGTGGAAAGATGAGTGTGGAAGAACAATTGTATTTTTTTCCACTGTTTTTGATGCTGCATTTGTGTTCTTTTTCTTTCCTAGAGTGTCTTCGATGCGAACGAGGCTTTGGAATCTTGTTTTTTTTTCTTTTTCGTATGTGTCATCTTGATTAATCTGTATTATCCCTGATCTAATCGATGGCAATTGGTCGAGCAGACGACGACGAAGATGATGGATCTCGCCGACCCAAACCACCGGCTCATCGCCGGCGCGGCGCTGCTGGTGGCCACCCTCGCCTTCATCAAGCTGCTGCTGAGCTCCGCCGGCGGCGGCAAGAAGCGCCTCCCGCCGACCATCCCGGCGGCGCCGCTGGTGGGCGGGCTGCTCCGCTTCATGCGGGGGCCGATCCCGATGATCCGGGAGGAGTACGCCCGCCTCGGCAGCGTCTTCACCGTCCCCATCCTCAGCCGCAAGATCACCTTCCTCATCGGCCCCGAGGTGTCGGCGCACTTCTTCAAGGGGAACGAGGCCGAGATGAGCCAGCAGGAGGTCTACAAGTTCAACGTGCCCACCTTCGGCCCCGGCGTCGTCTTCGACGTCGACTACTCCGTCAGGCAGGAGCAGTTCAGGTTCTTCACCGAGGCGCTCCGCGCCAACAAGCTCCGCAGCTATGTCGACCAGATGGTTGTCGAGGCTGAGGTGAGAATCGCTTCCGTTTCACGCAATTGTTCATATATTGTTAGGATGGTTGTCGCATAGTAACTTAGCATGAGATGCTTGTTCTTGGATATATCATCAAACTTGATTGTAATAGGCTAATGTGTGGTAGAATTTGTTTCGAAGATCAGTCATGCGGATCATTATGCATTGAACTTGTAGTTAGCCCTTAGACAAAAGGATACAATCTCGATATAGATGTGCTATGTCAATTTTGATAGGAAAGCTTGGTGATCTAATATTCAGCATGATTGCTTTTTCTTATATGTATACGTCAATTCAGAGCTGTTGTTAATCCTGTTTGATTACTCAACATGTTGGTGTCATGGTGTGTATCAACACGTCTAATATGTTGTGCGTGGCTTTTCTGGAAGTTAGAACGTGGCTACCATACATCACCTTTTGTCTTTTTTTCTCAAACCCAAATATATCAGTATATGTGCATCACTGTCAACAGTGTTTTCCAGTGGCATGGAGTTCGTGCTAGGAGTATGCTGTTATCCGTTTGTGCTTTGCTTTATGCCTTTTGCCACCCTTTTTTTAGTGAATTAGTTCTTTAGAATAAAGCTTGCACATCTTTCCTGTTTATTACTAATTTTCATCGTTTAAAAGTTAGTCTTTTCCGGTTCTACTCTGAATTTTGGCTTGATGGTGTTTCTACGTGTTATCTTTCCTTTTCTATACTGTTTCTATGTGCTTCTTTTTCTCCACTTTTGAATGACATCTTTTAATTATGAATGAATGTCCACACCAGCACCATAATCTTTTAATCAGAACAGGCCATATTTTACACTGACAACTGTGACATGTTTTGTTTCTGAAGTCTTGTAGAGATTTGAACTGCTGCTGGTTGTATTTGAGATCTTATGATATCAAATTATGCTTAGCTTTTTCTTGTTAATTTGTTTCTTGTATGAGTTTGATCAATAGTGTATAAACGTTGGACATGCTTGGGCTGTGTTTAGTTCACATCAAAATTGGAAGTTTGGTTGAAATTGGAACGATGTGACGGAAAAGTTGGAAGTTTGTGTGTGTACGAAAGTTTTGATGTGATGGAAAAATTAGAAGTTTGAAGAAAAACTTTGGAACTAAACACAGCGCTGATATATAGCTTGAGTTACAAAGACCTGTTTTTTAGTTGACTGAGGAAACAAACTAAACCTTGTTATGTGACGTTAAGTTCTGGAGGTCAATGATAAAATGTTTGCATCCTGTCAGGCTGTCACAACCAACATTCTTGTATCTATCTGACTTAACCAAGACCTGTGGGTCAACTGTACCTTTTCTTAAGATGTACTCAAGAAATGCACCATAAGACTCCAAACTTTTTGGTGCAGCAAAACAGGACATAATTGGCAGCAACTGTTGTTTCAACAAGAAACTGAATTGACGTGTTCCTCTGTTATATTCGCTTTACAAATAGGTGCATACCACAGCACATGTGTATTGTGCATCATCTCATTTCCTTTGCAATTCCAATTTTATGGCACTCCATCTTATTCATCCTTGTTCACAATAACATGGTTTGTTCATAAAGAAAAAGCTAGGCATAATTTTATATAAACTTTTTGCATGCTTTCTTTTCATATAATAATATTATATCGATAGTTTTTATGAATAGATTATACAGACCATCTTTATGCAAGTCACTGGACATTTGGCTTGATGTTGAACACTCAGTGTCATGATTGTAGTAACATGTTAGCGTTTAGATAGCATGTCAAGATAAATCCTGTTACTAAGGCTTTTTTACTGTCTTACTGTGTTCTGTCTTGTTTTCATCAATCATTACATCATTGCATACATCTTGGATGATTAATCTCAACTGCAAATGCAACCTTGCCTACAGGAGTACTTCTCTAAGTGGGGAGAAAGTGGAACGGTGGATCTGAAGTATGAGCTGGAGCATCTCATCATTCTGACTGCTAGTCGGTGCTTGCTCGGGAGGGAGGTGCGAGAAAAGCTCTTTGATGATGTTTCTTCTCTCTTCCATGATCTGGACAATGGGATGCAGCCAGTCAGTGTCATCTTCCCCTACCTCCCAATTCCTGCACACCGCCGCCGTGACCGGGCACGGCAACGGTTGAAGGAAATCTTCGCCACCATCATCAAGTCCCGCAAGGCCTCTGGACGGGCTGAGGAAGACATGCTGCAGTGCTTCATTGATTCGAAGTACAAGAGTGGACGCTCAACCACAGAAGGTGAAATAACCGGCCTACTTATTGCAGCACTATTTGCTGGACAGCACACTAGCTCTATCACCTCAACCTGGACTGGGGCCTACATGCTTCGCTTCAAGCAGTACTTCGCAGCAGCCGAAGAGGAGCAGAAGGAGGTCATGAAGCGGCACGGGGACAAGATCGATCATGACATCTTGGCAGAGATGGATGTCCTCTACAGGTGCATCAAGGAGGCGCTCCGTCTTCACCCACCGCTAATCATGCTGCTCCGCCAGTCACACAACGACTTCTCAGTGACAACGAAGGATGGCAAAGAGTTCGACATCCCGAAGGGCCACATCGTCGCGACATCTCCAGCCTTCGCCAACAGGCTCCCTCACATCTTCAAGAACCCCGACTCATACGACCCCGACCGCTACGCACCAGGCAGGGAGGAGGACAAGGCAGCGGGCGCCTTCTCGTACATCTCCTTTGGTGGCGGCAGGCACGGTTGCCTCGGTGAGCCCTTCGCCTACCTACAGATCAAGGCCATATGGACTCACCTGCTGAGGAACTTTGAGTTCGAGCTGGTCTCCCCCTTCCCGGAGACCAACTGGAAAGCCATGGTCGTCGGCATCAAGGACGAGGTGATGGTCAACTTCAAGCGGCGGAAGCTCGTCGTCGACAACTAGGATGCCACCTTCAACCTTAGGAGTCGATGCTTGTCGCGCTTTTCGCCTTTTTTCTCTTCTTTTCCCTTTCTGTCAGTATTTGATCCGTGTAAGTTTCTGCCAGCTTTGTATTAGGGTGTTTCAGTCGTTTTAGGATCCTGTGATTTGCTTCCTGCCATGAAAAATCAAGCTTGATCTCTGCAACTTCTGTACCTCTGGGTTGCTTGGCAACGATTTGTGTTTGTGTTATTAGACTTGAAGCATCCTGGATTGTACCTGAATCTTTGCATCGTCCGTTATTTCATATGGCTTTGGACATAATGTCTGAAGTCTGAACAAATAATACTTATATGTAATGGAATGGAAATGAGAATAAAACTATGGCAATGTGAGTTGTCTCTGCAACCAGTGCTCTCCACTTGTAAAAGATCATCTGCTCGGGTCAATAATTGCTGTCATCTTGAGAAAAATGTTGGTCTGCTGGAGATCACCGGAGAAGGCGCCGTCTTCTGCCGGCGGATTGGTCGCCGGCGTGCTCGACGGCGAATGCATGTCATGGGTAATTATCGTCTGTCGAGCCAAATAACCTTGGTCAAGTACCGTAATTTTGAAAAGTAATCGTAAAAGGGCATTTGGTCTAGTGGTATGATTCTCGCTTAGGGTGCGAGAGGTCCCGAATTCAATTCTCGGAATGCCCCTGATTTTTTTCCCTGATTCTTTTTATTTATGCTGTGCCTTTCATTAATGTGACCACAACAATAATTGCATTCTACAATCGTTTTTTTCTTTATTGAAATAAAGCATTGAAACAAGCCAAGCAACAAACAAATAAAATAGTACTCCCTCCGGTTTCATTTTAATTGACGTTTTAGACAATAACACGGTCTATAAAATATATCTTTTGACCTTATTTTTCTATTATAATATATATATATAATATATATTGCTTTTATTATAATGCTTTGAAAGACAAATCTATATATGTTGTTCAATGCTTTAAACTAAATATTTTTAAAGTTATTGATGGTCAAAGTTATAAAAATTTGACCTTAATCTTGTCTAAAACGTCAATTAATATGTAACAACAGGGAGGGAGTAGTATGCAATAGAAAGCGTACTTTCCTGATTCTCTAGTTATGCTGCGACTTTCATTAATGTGACCACAGCAATTATTGCATTCTCCGATCGTATTTTTCTTTATCGAAATAAAGCATTGAAACAAGCAGGTAAGCAACAAACAAATAAAAAGATGCAATAGAAAGAGTACTCCGTGAAAAAAAAAAAAGTTGCCTTGTTGCAACGAACTTACTGTTGAATTGGTTCTCTATTTTGTCAAAATTTAGAAATGCCAAGCAAACAAAAAAGAACTCCACGCCAAAATTAGTAACAATCCAAACGTTCATCGTACCCACCTCTTTGCTACCAACCAAAACATGGCACTGCAAATTAATAAGCCCTAAATATGGTGCAATAATTGACCAAACTTTGAAAATGAAGAGTTACGTCGAGGTATAATACTCTCTCAAAATATAGCTATTTCTAGAATTTTTTTCTCAAAATATAACTACTACAACATTTTCCTAATTAATTAATTAATTTAACTCAACAAATCACAACCATTTCTCACTTTAACCTTGATGTCTTTTTTTTAGAAAAAAAATAGCATAATAAGTAGTTGTATTTTGAGAGGAAGGGAGTATAACATTATCGTTTTCTGTGCTCTACAATTAACTTAAGTGGAGAACTCGTTTGCAGCATGACCCTTTTGAAAAGCTCTAAAAATAAAATATGATTGCTATGCAACTTTCGAATTATATGCGCTTTGAGATTTGTGCTACGTGAGTAGGGTAAAATATATTACACACGTTAGGGCAGGGATCGAATTAACCCGCAGCCTCTAAGTTTCAAGTGCACATATCCAGTCTCCACTGAACTATACCGCTGTCAAAAAAAAAAAAAAAGAGACCAATACTAGACCGCTGTCAAAAAAAAAAAAAAAGAGACCAATACTAGCAATGAATCTGTACATGTCCAAATATTTGGACGGAGTAGTACGTGTTTTTCTATTTACACTACACTCAAGTCACATATATACTACTTACATGTAGTTATATAGAAACTACACTATACACTATAATTGTACAGATACTGTATCTGTTGAGGATTTTCTGTCGAATCCCAAAATGAAAAAAAAAATACAAATCACTTCCCGAATGAAACTTACTGCAGGAGAAAAAAGAATAATGGTAGCCATCACTAATCAAGATTCAAGAGCACCGAATAATACATAACTGTATGATTAGTCCGAGAGGGTCCCCGAAAAAACAAGAGAAGGAAGTCCACGAGGTGCGACAGCGACAAAGAAGATGGATCGGATAAGACAGGGAGAGGATTATTCGCGCCGAGAAGGAACAGCAACTCATCATCAGCTTTGCCAACGCGAGTACGCCGTCTAAATATGAATCCAGATTCATATTTTTTCTAAGACGTAGCAAGTATATTCTAAAACATTTGTATATATCCATATTCACATTTGTATATATCTAGATTCATATTCATATTCATACTTGCTACGTCTTAGAAAAAAAACACTTAATTCTAAATATGAATCTATTCATATATATATATATATATATATATATATATATATATATATATGTCGATTCATACTCACTATTAATGCTGATCAAATTTAGTCAACTATGGTGGTGTTCTTTTTCTCCTAAAGATAAAGATAAAGATGAAGATTAAGTTTTTTTACGCAAAACTAGGTGGTATTAACATATGATTGATTAGTTTTAATTATTTATAAACTTGAAAAATAGAATAATATGATTTTAAAGCAAATTTTATATAGAAAGTTTTCACACAAAACGCACCGTTTAGTAGTTTGAAAAGTGTGCCACGAAAATATTAATTTTCATCCAACTCTTGTTGGATAAAAGAACGAGACAATATGTTTATATACATTATAATCGTTTATAATTATTGATGTTGATCAAATTTAGTCGTATATAAGTCGAAGAGGCAGGCCGTATGCATAACAATTTTCGTAGTGTAGTCGCCGTCCGCTGGTTGTTCGGCGTTTCATATTTGGTAGGGTGCAGCGGATCGATCTGGATAGGGACCGACAGGTGGGGCCCCGTTCTGGCCTCCTTATCCGGAAGAGGCGCCCCACCGTGGCACGGGCTATTTATTTTTATTCGCATCTCGCCTTTTTGCGAATGAGACCTTCCAATCGTACTAAATCATGCTACGCTCCTGATAGGAAATGATACTAGCACTAATGCGGCTGTTAAGATGAAATTATGTGTATATGTAGGGCTGTTCACTTTAATGAAAAAAACATTACCAAAATTTTGGCAGGATTTTTTATATAGTTACTAAAATTTAGCAGGAAACTAAATGTAGCTACTTGTTTATAACTTTACCAAAATTTTGTAAGGTTGAAAATGGTATCAAAGTGAACAGTCCCATAATAGTAACAGGTGATAGATAGCCTGACCTTTCAATGGCAAAAATGAATTGTTTCATCCGCGATACCTGGAGTATATACTATATTTTTTTTATGCTTGTGCTTGATGACGAAAATTAAATAAAATAAGGACTTTTGGTGACTTGTCTGATGGACTGATATTGAAAACAACATTGCCATATAAGTTCAATTATATCACGGGCTTGTCTGTTATGCTTACACATTACTACACTAAGCGTTTTCCTATGCGGTAAATCGGTTTTTTGCGTGCAGAGATTTGGCCTGTCTGGAACAAATCGCCTGGGAAAATCGCGAAATCTGCGGTTGCTTATGCCACCGCACGGAAAAACAGAAAACCGAAAAAAATTCAAAAAAAAAAGAAAACCCTAGATCGGGTCGTCGCCGTCGCTCCCGCCTCGTCGGCGGCGGCGGCAGCGTCGCCGCTCCCGCCTCGTCATTGGCGCCTCCCGCCAGCCTCCCGTGCCGGATCCGTGGCGGGGGGAGGGCGACCGGGCGCCGGATCCGTGCAGGGACGGCCGCGGGCCGCCCGTCGTCGCTCACTCGCCCGTTGGTTCCGCCGCCTGCGTGCTCCCGTTGCCGCCAGGGAGGGGAGGGGAGGGGAGAGGGATGGGAGGAGCCGCTGCCGCCCGTCGTCGCCCGCCTGCCCGCTAGATCCGCCGCCCGCGCGCTCCCGTTGCTGCCGGGGAGGGGAGGGGAGGGCAGGCGGTTCTCGCGCCGGATCCGTGGCGGGGGAGGGCGGCCGGCCGCCGGATCCATGCGGGGACGGCCGCCGCCCGCCGGATCCATGCGGGGACTGCCGCCGCCCGCCGGATCCCGCGCCTCCACCGTTGCGCCGCCGTCGCCGTGGGGCACTGCTGCCGCCGAGAGGCATAAGTGAGGAGAGGAGAGAGGAGAATCGTGAGAAAGGAGAGGAGAAATTTTGGGAGTTGAATAAGAGAATTGACTGGATAAGAAGATAGAGTGAGGACCGAGGTGCGCGGAAAAAGAGGAAATTTTAAAGTGGGTAGGAGGGAAATACTATTTTGACGTGCGGCTCTCTTAGTACGTTCGTACGAAAAAAATCGACTTATTTTCCCGTGCGGTTCATTTAAGAGGACCGCACATTTTTCCCATGTGGTTCACAACCTAGCGCCAGTCAATTCGGGGGCATGGAACCAAAAGGGGGCAACGTCTAGGAAAACCAATTCAGTAGTAGTGACATGAGAGAGGTTTATCTTCTTCTTCCAATTGATTTCTCTTCAACCTATTAAGATCATAGAGTGTTGTCTTTTATGCAAATTGAGGTGTTGTTTATTATCATGGCTACTTTGTATTATACCATAGTATAACCATTACAACAAGTTACCGATAACAACATAAACAAATATGATAACAAAGGAGAGATCGGGGTCCCACCTGTCAAAAGGAGAGATCTGAAGCTTACCGATAGCCTAGATTATAAGGCTACAGCTCAACGACATTAGGAGCATATTTAGAACCGTGTAAGCGCCATAATTTGAGGGTCTGTTCACTTTAATGTAAAAAAAAAACCTTACCAAATTTTGGTAATATCAAAATTTTGGTAACTTGCTAAAATTTTGGCATAGTTTTTGATATAGTTACCAAAATTTAGCGGCAAACTAAATATAGCCATTTTTTTAGCAACTTTATCAAAATTTAGCAATGTTAAAAATGACATCAAAGTGAACAGGCCCTGAATTATATAAGATATATCGTCGACTCTCTCAAACTAAAACTAGAGCCGTAGCACATGCATGGTCGGCAAAATTAGCTCATGATGTACATATCAAGTTAGCATGTTTATGCTACATAAAAAAGCATTGCTGGACATACGTTGTAGGGCTTGTTTTTGATTCGACTAATTTAATTCGAAGAATGGCGCATGAGTTCGCGTGAAGAGGGGAGGGATGTTTGACGCCTTTGATAATATTTCAAGTATGCTTAAAGAGCAAACATGCATATATATGCATTTAGTGATGCGCGTGGATTGTGTTCATCCAAATTGCACTATACGTGAAAAAAAATAATTTTGGCTTTTTAGCTATTTTGGGGGAGCAACTCCATTACTTCTCGAATTGCTATACAATGTATTTTTTTTAAAAAAATTTATATTGAAGTTTCTTTTTTAAAAATAAATAAATCAATTTCTAAACCCATATTAGTAAATAGTCAATTAATCATGTACCGATCAAATGAATTAGTACGTGGTAGGGACGTAGGGTTTACTGTTTAGCTCATCGGAACATCTAGATCGAACGGACCCTAAAAAAAGTCTCATACGCAACAAGACCCCAATCCACAAATCGAGGAAACTCGAATGGCCATACTGAAAATTCACTCAATAACCGCGATAAAAGCTAGGTAGCTGACGTGGCACAGCGCGCAACTACCCGCCCGGCACGCCGCGGCCGCGAGCCCTTGTGTCACCGACAGGTGGGCCCCACCACCCCGCTCCGCTTCTTCTTCTTAGCTCACTCCACCCCCCGGCCTCACCGCGGCCGGCCGCAACGACCTCCATCCACCACCTCCCTTCTCCACCTTCCACGCCCCTTCTAGAAGCTTCGGGAAGAGGCCCATGGGCGCCTCCGCCGCCCGCCTCGCGGCGCTGCTCCTGCTCCTCCTCGCCGCCGCCGCTGCCGTCGGGGAGTGCGTGTACATCCCCTACAACACGTCGGCGGGGGTGGTGGGGGGGAAGCTCAACGTGCACGTGGTGCCGCACACCCACGACGACGTCGGGTGGCTCAAGACCGTCGACCAGTACTACGTCGGATCCAACAACTCCATCCAGGTTGCTACTACTACTTGCGCTTTCGATCGAGAGCGCGAGCTGCGCGGCGCAGTCCTCGGAATTTCCGCGATTTTTTCCCCGTTTTTTGTGGGGGGAGAAATTTCTACGGGTTTGGGGGAGCTAGTTTAGGCATGATTGATGCGCTGAATTTTGGAAACGGATTATCTCGTTTCTCGTCACGTTGCTTGTTTTGAATTGGATTTTTTTTTCTGGGTGTTTTTGGTTGCAGGGGGCGTGCGTGCAGAATGTGCTGGATTCGCTCGTGCCAGCGCTGCTCAAGGATGAGAACCGCAAGTTCGTCTATGTTGAGCAGGTAACATATACTCCCTCCGTTTCGAAATGTTTGACGCAGTTGACTTTTTAGCATAAGTTTAACCGTTCGTCTTATTCAAAAAATTTAAGTAATTATTAATTCTTTTCCTATCATTTGATTCATTGTTAAATATATTTTTATGTAGGCATATAATTTTACATATTTCACAAAAGTTTTTGAATAAGACGAACGGTCAAACACGTCTTAAAAAGTCAACGGTGTCAAACATTTTGAAACGGAGGGAGTATTTTTTTGGGGGGTAAATCCCGCCTTTGGAAGTTTGTCCTTGTCAGCAATTGAATTTTGAGCCGCTTGGAGGAGTGGAATTGGAACTGCGGCGGGTAGGAAGCAATGTAGTACTATCTGTAACCATATTGGTGTTTCTACAAGCAATTTCTGGCTGACAATTGTAGGAGTTGAAGTTATAGAAGCTATTCTATCTACATCCAAAATGGTCAATTCTGCAATGTCGGGAGTCCTTTTTTGGTTGGATAGGAAGCAATGTGCAACCACTTGTAGACACATTGACTGAAATTGACCAATGGTTTCTTTGGTTTTTAGGCATTCTTCCAGAGATGGTGGAGACAGCAGAGCGACATGATTAAGGATATAGTGAAGGGGCTCATCAGCACTGGACGATTGGAATTAATGTAGGGTTTAAATCGAATATCGCTATGTATGCTGCATTGGTAGTCATGTCTGTGTTGTATAGAGAATGACATGCTTCTTTTGCTGTTGCAGAAACGGGGGAATGTGCATGCATGATGAAGCGACCGTGCACTACATTGACATGATAGACCAGACTACGCTCGGGCACAGGTTCATCAAGGAGGAGTTTGGTCAGATTCCAAGGATTGGTTGGCAGATTGATCCGTTTGGGCACTCCGCAGTTCAGGCTTACCTCCTAGGCACAGAAGTAATCCACTGAACTCATTGATGCCGTCCTTCCAGTGTTTAATTCGACTTAAATGTAAAATGCTGTTATCATAGTAACTAGTTATCAGCCCGGCGATAGTAACTAGTTATCACCCATCATAGGTAGTTATGTGCTGAGATACAAAAATGTCATTATGTATACCTTGCTATCCCCTAAAGAGTGATGCCACAGAGAGCTTTTGTTGACAACACAATGTAGCTACTGAATCTACACAATCCAATTGTTTAAGTGAAATTAGATTTACCAGAAAAGTAATTGCTCAGCTAGCATTTTATTATGTTTCAGGTAGGATTCGATGCTTTTTATTTTTTCCGGATTGATTACCAAGACCGTGACACACGGAAGGGAACAAAAGAGCTCGAGGTTGTGTGGAGGGGCTCCAAGACCTTCGGCTCATCAGCTGACGTAAGTGACCTCTTTTTTTCACGGTTAATGTTATGCCTCAATTTGATGTTCTTAAACTCTGGGGATTCCATATTTCATATGAAACACACATTTTCTTACAGATCTTTGCTGGCATCTTCCCAAAAAATTATGAACCACCTCCTGGTCAGTTTTACTTCGAAGTTGATGATACTTCCCCAATCGTCCAGGTAAACTAATGAGTACTCTACTAATGCATATCATTCAACACCAGACATGAACTTATACATTCCTTGCCTCTATGCAGGATGATCCCCTTCTTTTTGATTATAATGTGGAGCAACGGGTGGATGACTTTGTTGCTGCAGCTATAGCACAGGTACATTAAACTGTATGTTCACACTTTTTTCATGCTGATGTAGACCCTCTATGGAGCCATATGCATTGCATGGAAATCCATTAGTCATGTTGATTGATGCTACTGCAAAGTGCAAACATCTTATTCAATTTAGACTGCCTTTCTGGATGTTGTAGTGTTAAGTGTTTGTCACAAATTGAGAATGCAGTTTTGGTGTTCCGTATTCCATGATATGTCGATCATTCTGCTCTTAATATTCAAAGATATTAGCTAAATGACAACGTTTTAACTTGAAGTTATTGTTCTACTCAGCAATGAGTTGTTCATCCTAATTCATGCTCCTTTCTTTCTTTTCTCTAGGCAAATATTACAAGGACAAATCACGTTATGTTTACAATGGGCACAGACTTCAAATATCAATATGCAGAAAGTTGGTTCAGACAGATGGACAAATTAATTCACTACGTTAATAAGGTTAAGATCAGCATGGATATTACAAATGCTGACTATTGTTTAACTAATTTAGTTTCACCATGAAGTTGTAATGATGATGATTTCAACATGTTGTTCCATTACCTCAGGATGGCCGTGTCAATGCTCTGTATTCCACACCTTCGATTTATACTGATGCAAAACATGCTGAAAATGTGCCATGGCCTCTCAAGACTAATGATTTTTTCCCGTATGTTCTAACCTTATATTTCATAATTGATATAATTAACTTCATTTTTGTTGCTTTCACATGCAAATGACTGTATTTCTTCCATCAGGTATGCAGACAACCCAAATGCATATTGGACAGGTTACTTCACAAGCAGACCTGCCTTAAAACGATACGTTCGTGTTATGAGTGGATATTACTTGGTAAATTTTCATCTTTCATTACTCTAGCATTCAGATGTGCAGTTTCAGTATTATATATTTTCATGGTTACTTGGTACTTTGTGGTGTTCATATGCTTAATATTTTATTTGTTTTCACTTTTCAGGCAGCTAGGCAGTTGGAATTCTTTAAAGGGAGAAGCAACTCTGATCTCACAACAGATAGTTTAGCTGATGCTCTAGCTCTTGCTCAGCACCATGATGCTGTTACAGGAACGGAGAAGCAACATGTCGCAAATGACTATGCAAAGAGATTATCAAT